TGAAAGGTTGGATCTTTAACTGCACTAAGAACTTTTATCATTATGGTGATGGCGGGGAGTTATTATATCTCACTTTTCATCCCATGAACTCAATGCACTTTCCAAATGCTATGCCATTAATGCTGATGATGTGTTAGCTAGGCAGGCCCAAAACAACTAAACCCATTGTGTAGGTAGAGAAACTGAGGCAGGCTATGCTTCAGGCGGCACTGCCTTGTCATTCATGAATATGTGTTAGTTCAGGGTGAGGAAGAACACAAGGCTGGCCCTGCCTTCCCCTGAGGTCATCAGGATGTAGTGAGGTCACATAATGATTTGACTTCGGCTGTGTGTGTCCACTGTCCCCAACTTACTGGTCTATTCAATCAATTCATTGAAAGATGTTAAAAGCCAAATTGTAGGAATAATTAGTGACAACTATTCAAAGCCTAGTTTGCAGTGCAAAGGAAAATAAAGATGAAAAGAAGACAAGAGTCCCTACTTTATTGCTAGAACAGAACTTAGAATGGATCATCTGGTTGTTTGGTAGGGAATTTACTGTTTTAGCCAGTTGCTTTGATATCATGGGGACCCAAACTCTGTTGTGCTTAATTTATACAATACAGTCTCTGCTAGGTGACTGTCACTGACCTTCACCCACTCCTTCGAAATGCTAGAGAAAAGAATCATAGAAAACATTCCACCCACTTTCTTTGGTTCTACTGGGAAAAGTTTTCATGGAATTTGGATGATATGGATTCAAGTGTGTTCTCAAATGCACTGTCAACTGTGAGGTGATAATTCTTCACATAACCTTCATCCCTACGTCTTGCCCCTCCATACATACACACACACACACACACACACACACACACACACACAAATGTATGTATGTGCCAACACAGAACTCCTTTACCTTCCCCAAACAAAGGCATAAGGCACATGGGTAGGGCTAGACACATTGCATACTGATGTACTCCAATGAGGCATATTCCTCTGATCATGGTGGCATATCCCTGAAACATCATCTATCTACTTTCCATTTTCTTTCCTGCTAGTTGAAAGAGGTTTCCAAGTGCGGAGTTAGAGAGTGAGAAGTATGGAACGTTGAGCACAGCACAGAGAAACCATATTAATAAACATACTCACATAAATTGGAAAAATAGGACTTATTTTTAATTGGTTTGTGAACTTGAACATCTCTGAGTTGCCACTCATAGGGCTATTTGCTATCTTTCTTTATGATGGTCATTCTAGTAATAGCAGCTCCCCTATGGAAAGCCAAAAGTGTTCCTAAAACACTGGGGAATGCATTAGTTATATATAATGGGCTATATCATAAGGTATCATATAATCTGAAAAATCACAGTGAGCCTATGTAGCGGTCAGTGTGCAAGTGTTCCTCCCACAAGGAGCCAAGACTTTCCCGGTAGAGCATGGGATAGATTGAGGGGGTGGGCACATTCATTCCTTCAGGCTACTAGGGGACTGGCAGGTATGTAACTGTTCTGGTATAGTGATTGCATGCCCTGGGCATCATTGTATTCACACCTTAAGCAATACCCCTGGTGACTATCAAAGAGGGAGGGCACTTTACTACACATTAGATTATTATCAAGGGGAAAAAGGAATCCAATTTAATGTATTAGATAACTTAATTATTGTACAGAGTATACTGAATACCCTGTTGATACAGCTTTATTGCATCAAGTTGCATGTTATAACTGAATACTTATTGATACTTGGCTTTTCCTAACCTACATTGATTGGGTCCAGATACTACTGCTTTTCATTGCGCTTTTGGGGAATAACTGAGCATGCCCGATGTCTATAAACATCTTCCCAGGAGTCCCATTGCCATCCAAGGTATTGTTACAGAGAGGGGTGAAGTCGCAGCGTGCATTCAGAATTGGCAGTGACTAATGACTTCTCTGATGGCAGCCAGAGGTGGGCCAGTGTCTGTTGCCAGCCCAGCTTGGGGAATTCACATCTGTCCCCTAGGCTTTCAGTCCCAGGGGATATTTTGAATTAGATCTATCTCCTAGGGTAGTGCTACCAAATTTGAGCTACCTGTAGGCTGCTCCCAAGCCCCCCAGGTGTTCAGAAAAACCTGACTACTGTTAAACTACTTGAGCTCCTCTTTAATAAACAGGTGTTGGGAAAAGAAGAGCAGTAATTGAGTTAATGTAGTGGAGAAAAAAAGAAAAGTGGTTTTTATCAGTCAGTGTTATGTGACCAAGACTTCTAATAAAGATGGAGTATGATGAAAGAATACAGAGCCTGTACCACCTCTTATCCTGGGCAATTAAAGTTACTCCTTTGTTACATGTTGGCTCTGAAAAATGTACTCAACAGAGTGCACTACAGAAAACTTTTCTTCCTAAAAAATATTGTACCAAAAGTGTGTGCTGTAAACCATGTGCCCAAACAGATTCAGAGAGAAGTATCAGGAAAAAAAAAACCCAGGCAGTACATTTTAATAACTGGAATCCAACTATTAAATCATTTAATAAGAAATACCTGGTTTTGATTTTTAATTACTCTTGTAATCTACACTTTTACATAGTTATAATGAATGTTTATTTTGGTTATTTAGAACATGCAACACTTTCTGCTCTATTCAAATATACAAGTGTAATCATTTTCCAACTTCTTTGTTCTTAGATAAAAAGGAAATTGATCTTTATCTTGTGACGATTATGCTTTTTAAATGCAGCATACTGCAAATGGTATTTGCGTGGGTGACATTTCTATGCTTTCTCTCTTTTCTTCATGATGTTGTAAGGTTGTGGAAATGCCTTTGTCAGTGGGTGCCTCCCTGGTTCTCTGTCTGCACTTTCTGCCCTAAACTCTGACTCAGTGGGCTTCTGGGTGAGTAATCCTTCTTAACCTTTAAAATCACACAAAGCAGCTTCCGCTACCCCCCTCATGGACAGGATGGAAGCAGAGATTCTTGCCAGTGTGGCTACTAATTCTGCCAGGAGAAGAGGTGAGCGGGTGGCTAAGCACTTAACTTAGCTGACTTAGAGGAAGCTGACTGTGAGGCAGGACCTCGGGACTTCAGGGGATGAAAGAAATAAATGCCCTCAGCGTCGTTCCCTAGTCTGTGATGGTATCTCCCAAAGTGCCTACTTATACATCAGAAGCAGTTTATCCACCTTGTAGGAAGCTGTACTAGAACCCTATACCCATCTTAAAATAACAGTCAATGAAATAGGTTATCCCTTACCCTAGCCCAACACGCTTATGAATGGCAGGATGGTGAATAACTCTGAGTCACTGTTTGTTTCCCCCACACACACACACACACATTTCATTGTAGCCTGGTGATCCTTAACTATTAGAGGCCTCAGTCCCTAAATGGGGAGGAACATGAATCTCAGCATGGCTTGGACAGTGAAGATGTCAGTGGGAAGCATTTCCAGAACTCCTACTCTCACCTGCGGGGATTTCTCCTTTATATGGCCTCAAATCATAGTTAGTGTCTCAGCATCAAAGATTCATTGAATTTCTGGGTTGTAAAGGCTCTCAGCAGTCATCTAATCCAATTTCTACCTAAAACACGAGTCCCCTCTACAATATACCTTGACAAATGGTCATCTATCCTCTGCTGGAAGACCTTTGTATCAGGGATCTCTCTACCTCACAAAGCAGTGCCTTTTATTGTTGAACAGCTCTAATTATTAAGAAATTCTTCATACAGGATCAAAATATGCCTCCCTGCAAACTTCCACCTGGTGGTCCTACTTTTGCTGTCTAGAAATTGTTTTCCTAGGTCCCAGTCCTTATTTTCAGATGCAACGAATCTGCTCCCTTTGTGGGAATCTAGAACTTGATTATATATGTCTATGTATTTTTCTTTCATTAGACTCTTAAAGCTGATAAAAATCTTGTAAATCATCCAGTCCAATCTCCTAATTTTTTTTTTTAGATAAGGCAACTGAGGTTCATAGAAGTAAGATGATTTGCCCAGAGGCCCCAAATTGATAAGTAATAAAGTTGGTAGTTGACTCCAGGTCTCCTGGCTCTTAATTCAAGGGTCTTTCCCCTTCACCCCTACACTACTCTATTGCTGTTTCATCATGAAAATGAATCTTATTTCCCCAACTAGATTGAAAGACATTTAAAGAATAGAAACAATAATACCTTCTTCTTTTCTTATGGCCTTCACAGTGTCTATGGTAGGGTTAAACACATACCATTGCTTCATAGATGCTGGACAGACTAACCACTCAAGTCAACTTGACGAGAGCTAAACATCTGAGAAGGGGAAATAAGAATGGGAGGCATGGTGTTCGGAAATACAGGAGGAAAAGCCTTCCCTGAAGCAGCCTCACAACCAGTATGCAAAACAAGACTAACCCAGCACTGCACACCCCCAAAGTGTATTCTCAGCGTCAGTACGCTTTTTATAAACCAGGTAAGGCCATTAGGTGGCCTAGTCTTTCACCACATAATGAGAAATGAGGCTTGTAGACATTAAATATCTCTGAACAGCCTTCTGCTTTATTGATTCCTTGGGAAATATGCCACAATTATTTTTGAAAATAGATGGTGTATTTGTCTATCCTCTGAAGCAACTCAAACTCCAATAGACAAAGTGTCAGGAAAATATCAAAGAAAATGGAGGTGTCCATATTCCAAATAGATTTGGGTGAAAGGTGGTAGAACTCTGTAAAAAACTAGTGGAAATATCTTAGTAGACCATAATGGGTAGAAGATCAGGAAAGCAGCCAAAGTGATGAGAAGACTGGGATAAAACCAAAGCAGAAAAAACTGGAAAAGGCTGCTAGGAAGTTCAAAAGGGGCAACAGACCTAGTCTTTGGCTAGAATAAGAAAGAAGTGTTCAATGGTAAGTGTGATAAACCAGGGAATTGGAGTACATCTATATAGTCTGGGCCTCATTTCCGAGCCAGAGACACTGATTCAGTCACGTGATCCTGGCCTGTTAGGAATGTGCCAAGCCCCTCTGTTCCTGAGTGTGGCTTGGAATGCCCTCAATCTGTCCCAGGTTTCTCACCTGTATGTATTCTCAGATGCACCTTTAAATGGTGGGATGTTCGGAAAGTTTTCCCACAATAAGGGCAGTCCTTCATTGCCGATCCAAGGCTCCTATCTCTCAGTAGAGCTGGTGGCTGGACTCCGACAGATCTCCCAGCCTCTTCACCAATGTCTGCAACAGAGGAAAAACGTTCTCACATCACTTCAGCACATGTCAGAAGTTGTTCGCACCAAAACTGCTAACACAACACAAAGTTAAACATGTCAATACTACACCTGTCTATTTCATTCTTTAAATCTGACAGAATGCTGACAATTCATGTATTTTCTTGTTATTCTCTTAAATTATTTCATCTTTCCTATCATCTTTTTAAGCAGCATATGGTACCTTTATATTGAACTGAATTATACAAGAAAAGAAACAGCTGTGTCAGCAGCTGGTTTGATTTCTTCTTTTGCTTAGCTCCTATTAAATATTTTTTTGAAAAGTTTAAAATGTTAGTGTTTTGTTGAATCTGATTAATTTATAATATGAACTAGCTGGATAGTTTACTTTGTGATCAAAATCACATTTGCATTAAATAAAGCAATAAATGAAAAAAAATATGCCTCAGCTGAGTCCCACCAACATGATAAAACACACACACACACACACACACACACACACACACACACACACACACAGAGCTATTTTGGGACAGGAAAGAGAATTATCCAAACTGCTCATTTGTCCCTTGTAGTGTCTTCTATACATGCACCAATGCAATCTCTGGAATGGAAGGACAGAAAGTATGGAAATTCTGTTCCACAATTAGATGATGATAAACATATAGCGACATATTCAAAGTCATGTGCAAAAACTCAGCTGCAAAACTCCCATAAACTTACAGCCTCACAGAGTTAAATCTTTTTGCAGTGACTTGAACATTTTCCCTGCAAAGTATCAATACAAATTGTTTCTCCTGCTGTTATTTGTTATGCAACCCAAACCATTAGAAAATGGAATAAAATTTACATATCGCTGCCTTCTGCACAGAAATTATGGGACATAATAGTAAATAAAAGTGTTAAAATATTTCGGGGGCTGGAGGATATGTTATTGCAGCACCCGAGGTCTGACACCAAACAGCCGAAGGAGGCAATATTAGTAAGACAGGATGAGCATGGTAGCATCTCTGAAAAGGAAAGGCAAGAGAACAACTTTGTTTGGGCTCAGCTGGGTCTTCTTTGGGACTCTTCCTCGCATCAGAAGGACACAGAAGGTGAGCCCCTAGAGGGCTGTAGCAGGTTCAAAGAAAATGTATTTGTACAGTGCCCAACACAATATTGTGTGTTTGATAATGTCGGCATGAAGATGGGAATAGAACAGCTTCATGAGAACTGGTCTGAGGTTTCAGTTTTGCAAAGGACATCCGTCAGTTTTTTGGCACGAGTGACCAAGTGAAGGAGGGAAGAGTTCTCTTGTCTGTGAATGCTGCCCCTTTCTCTGGATAGAGAAGCATGAACTTCTTGTGCATGGTCCCAGGGACCGTGGCATTCTGAATAACGTGTTTGTCAGGGGTTTTGTATTTCTTGGACAATAATTTTGGTGAAGGAAATAAAATTTGAATTGTAGAACATCAGAGTCTCAGAGTCAGGAAGGACCCAAGAAATCTTCTCATCCAACAACTGCCCTCTACAAAATCCTGCACAAGTGATCATGAAGCGTCCACTTCAAGACCTCCAGTGAAGGGGAACCAGCCACCTCCCAAGGCAGATCATTCCCTTTTGGCTCGCTGAAAATGTTTGGAAGTTTTCTGTTTTCCTTATATAGAGCCAAAGTTTATCTCCCTATAACTTCCACAGAATTTGTTATGCTCCTAGTTCTGCTTGCTGAGGCTAAACATAAGTCTAATACTTCTACTTGGTTGCCCTTTTAAATATTACAAAAATCAGTTATCATGCCTGCCCCCTCCCTACATTTTCTCTTTTTCAGATTCCCTATTATTGGTTTCTTCATCCAGTCACCCTTACCATCCTGGTAACTCTTCTCTGGACCCACTCCAGTTTTTAGTACTTTTCCTAAAATATGGCACTCTAAATTGGGCACAAGAGTCCAACTGTGATCTGACAAAAGCAGAGAAGAGTGGAATTATCACCTTGCTCTTTCTAGATGTCATGCCTCTCTTACTTTGGCATAACATACCATTAATATTTTTGGCTTCCATGTAAGAGTGTGCTGTTAAATATTTAACAACTGTCTTTCTGGAAAATAAAAATGCAAGGCGCGCTATTAAGGTTAATCTACATCATCAACATTACATGATTTCTTAAGTCTAGATTTTTTTTCAATTTTTAACATTTTTATTTAAAGTCTTGGGTTCCAAATTCTATCCCTTCCTTCCTCCCCAGCTCTGTCTCTGAGATGGTAAGCAATTAGATACAGGTTATATATGTGCAATTATATAAAATTTTTATGTTAGTCATTTTGTTCAAGATTCAAATAAAAGAAAAAGAAAGAAAGTGAAAAATAGCATGCTTCAGTCTGTATTCAATCCATATCACTTCTTTCTCTGGAGGCAGATAGTATGCTTCATCATTAGTCCTTTGGGATTGTCTTGGATCATTGTATTGCTGAGAACAGCTAAGTCATTCACAATTCTTCACCAATTTTGTTTCTTCATCAATATCACTGTTACTGTGTACAACATTTTCCTGGTTCTGTTCAGTTCACTATGCATAAGTTCATGTAGGTCTTTCCAGATTTTTCTGAAATCATTCTGCTTGTCATTTCTTTAGCACAATAATATTCCATTACAATCATATACCACAGCTTGTTTAGTCATTCCTTAATTGATGAGCATCCCTTTGATTTCCAATTCTTAGCCACCACAAAAAGAGAGCTATATTAATATTTTTGTACAAATAGGTCCTTTTCTCTTTTTTTTGGATGTCTTTGGGACATAGACCTAGCAGTGGTATTGATGGATCAAAGGATATACACAGTCTTATAGCCCCTTGGGCATAGTTCCAATTTTTTGTTCAGAATGGTTGGATCAGTGCATTAGTGTCCCAGTTTTCCTATATCCCCTCCAACATCCAACATTTTCCTTTTTTGTCATGGTAGCCATTCTGATAGGTGTGAGGTGGTACCTCAGACTTGTTTTAATTTGCATTTTTCTGATCAATAGTGTTAAGTCTAGATAATTTTTTTAAAAAATTGCATCATGTCGTATGGTGTTTGCCATTTTCTGAAGTGTGATTGCTCACATTGAAAATTTCACAATCCAGAGCTTATTTGAATTGAGTCCAGTGTACCCTGCTTGTGTACGATATCATTAGCTTGATCTTGAAATACTACTAAAGCTACCAGTTGTGCTTCTTCCTTGGAAATTCATTCCAAACTTCTCCAGAATCCTTCCCATACAGATTATGTCCACCATTTAAAAAACTGATATAAATTCCTTGGAAATGTTTGATTATGAGTTCCATTGTAGCTGTCCATCTATGCCCACTCCCTCCTCCACTAAAAATAGTCAAAGTATCAAAGGATCAGCCATCTGAAGAATCGAGTAATGTCCCTTAAGGGGTTTACATGATTAGTTTCTAGTTTTTTATATGAGTGGAACTGTCCTAATTCACACCGAATAAAGACATATCTAAGTTTTGTTGTTTAGTTGTGTCCAACTCTTTATGGCCCCAATTGAGGTTTTCTTGGCAAAGATACTGGAGTAATTTGTCATTTCTTTCTTCAACTCATTTTACAGATGAGGAAACTGAGGCAAACAGGGTTAAGTGACTTGCCTCGGGTCACACAGCTAGTAAGTGTCCGAGACCACATTTGAACTCACAAAGATGAGTTTTTCTGAGTCCAGACCTAGTACTCTATTCATTGCGCCACCTAGCTGCTCCCACATATCTAAGTACACACAACTTATGGCCTAACTGACTAACCAGAGAGGGTGAAGAGGCACGTTTTTTAAAGCCAGACTCAAATGCCACCTCCTTCAGGAAGCCTTCATTAACTTCCTGGTCTCCCCACTCTTGTCTAATGTATTCATTACATGCCAATTTGCATCATGGCTTTCTGTGTTTGTATCTCTCTTACCCTTGTCGGATGAAAAGCTTCAGAAAGGAAGGAATTATAGATTATCTAAACTTGGTACATTCCCCAATACCTAACTGAAAGTTCTGCTCATAGTAGGTGTCTTAATAAATACTCTTTGAACTGCAGGTGAAAGTTTGCAGATTTACCCAGCTAGCATGGACCTCGATGGACTCGTGCTGATTGCCAAGCTTGACTGCTCAGAAATGAACATCTGGAATAAGACCCCTGTCTGTCCTCTTTCCCCCACCAAATATTATCAATCCGTCCTGCCAGAGCTAGTCAGCTTTCTTTGTGCTAGGAGCACTGGGTCGGCTTAAAACAAATATGAACCTGATTAAAATTCTGCACGTGTCCTCTTGGAATATAGTTAAGATAGACTGTTTAAGTTAGGAGGCCAATAACTGTCATTTTGAATTATTAGCAAGACTTAAGTGTACTGGATGTTGGCTTTCAAGGTAGAAGTGGGCAGGTGCTGACTTTACTTTTCAATTCATATGGCCTCTTCATTTTCCACAGTTTGTATGGAGAACATCCTTCCCAAAAGTTTTCTGCAATGATGGCCACTGTCTCTGAGCAATAGTGGTTTAGAGATTACCAAATGGAACCACAGTAGAGATAATAAACGGTGTATTTGGAGTTTAGGTTTCAATAAGTGCCCTGGGAACATTATGGATAAATATATAGATAACACTAACAAGGCACTCTGGAGGAATTTACAGAATAAGAGTACTAGTTATGTTTTGCTATATGTCACTCTAAGTGATTGCCTGTTATCTATTTTCCTTTTATCTTTCTATCTTGAATATGTGTGGCCCAATAAAAAAGAATAAATTTGTAAGATAAACAGCTTTCTGTGCAGATTTAAGAGTCTAATTTTCGCTTTACTCAGAACTGAATTTTTTTGGAGAGCCAGTAAGACTAGAGTTTACTCTACGACTAATCCTACTAAGAAAACAAACTCAAAACAACAATGAAGGATAAGATGTGGGTGGCCCTGAGAAGTATTCACAGAAACATAAAGCCAACTACAGCGGATGGCGGGCTAATCTTTATTCCAGTTGTCTTACAGAATTCTTTCCCATGTA